ATGTGACTGCAGTCAAGGTTCGAAAATTCCTGGGCCTCGTACGACCCAACATCTAAACTACGACGTTCTGTAAATTCAATAAATGTAATACGTCACACGCTTCTAACCTAAGATGTGTTTATTTCATTATTTCGCCTAACCATGTAATGTGATACCGGTATCTCTTCTAACAAAATACTTCGCATTTGCTGGAAATATGGAATTAAAAATGTTCCGAGCCTCAGCTAGTTACCAGAAATAATAAGTAACAGATATTTATGACTTGTAAAATTAAAACGAAATATTACAAGTTGTAAATATTTTAGATGCAGACTTTCTTCAGAATCCTCTCTTACGGATTCCAGAAATTTTGTACTGATTCTGTAGTATTAAAATTACACACTTTAAGCTGGTTATATACTTACTTACTTCCTTATTCCATGGAGCTGTGTCCTTCCTGAGAAGCCAATACTTGCTCAGCCACTCAATAAATTCCTAACATTTTACGGAACCCGGAAGTTCATTACCGTGTTCACAACAGCCCACCGCTGGTCCCTATACATTTCTCCAAGATCCATTTTAATATTATTCTCCCACCTACGTCTAGGTCTTCGTAGTGGTCTCTTTCCTTCTGATTTTCCGACCAAAACCCTGTATGCATTCCTCTTTTCTCTCATGCGGGCTACATGCCCTCCCCATCTAATCCTCCCTGACTTGATCTGTCTAATTTTAATTGGTGTAGAGTAAAACTTATGAAGCTTCTCATTATGGAACTTTCTTCAGTCTTCTTGTATTTCATCTCTCTTAGGGCCAAATATCTCCTCAGCACCTGCTCTCAAACGCCCTCAGTCTACATTCCTCTCTTAGTGTCAGAGACCAAGTTTCACTCCCATACAAAACTACAGGAAAAATTATAGTTTTGTAAATTTTAATCTTTACGTTTTTAGACAGCAGACGAGAAGACGAAAGGTTCTGCATTGAATGGTAGCAAATATTACCCTCATTTATTCTGTTCTTAATTTAATCATGAATCAAATTTCATTTTATCATTGTGGCTCCCAAATACCTGAACTTTTCCACATTTTCAAAGGATCTACTTGCTATCTTTATGTAATGATTTCGCTCTGCATTTTGGTAATGAGTCATCAACATAAACTTAGTTTTCTCTGTGTTTACTACTGTACCTACCGGTCGAGTACAATCTTTATTTCTCTTAAGTTTATTACACGTAATTTATTTTAATAATTAACTGATCATTCCCCTTGAATAATAATAATATGTAGTATAAAAATAACCCCCCCCCCAAAAAAAGTCCAAAATAAGGCAGGTATTTCGTTTTTTTCTAAAATTCTTCTATTTTTAAACACATCTCTCTGTTTCTCTTTGCGAC